AGAGGTGTTTTGGGGAGGGGGGGTATTATTGTAGGGTCACCCCAGGGGTGCTGCTGCGGGACGCCCCGGGGGTGGGCACGGTGGGTGCCTGTGTCCCTGCCGCTGCCAGGAGGCCACGGGGGAAGGTGGCCCAGGGACCTCCTGGGGCTCAGGGATGGGACCCGCCTGCCTCTCGGCCCCCCGACGTGGCTCTTGCCCCCCCCGGGAGGTGGACGACCCCAACTGTGGACCTGGAGTGGCCTTGTCCCTTGAGGGTCCACATCCCTGTCCCTGGTGTGTCCCGGTCCTTGTCCCTGCCACCTCCTTGTCCACCACGTGTCCCTGTCCCTGGTGTGGCCATGTCCTTGTCCCTGCCACCTCCTTGTCCATCCCACGTCCATCCCATGTCCCGCTGTCCCCTTGTCCCTGGTATGGCCATGTCCTTGTCCCTGGCACATCCATGCCCGTGTCCCTGCCGTGCCTGTGTCCCTGGCGTGTCCTTGTCCCTGCTGTGGCCACAACCCCTCACAGCCCCCGCCCCAGACGTCACCTACAGACAAAACAGGCCCAAATCTGAGCAGGTGCTGGTGGCAGGATGGGACCCTGATGGGTGCTGGTGGGACCCTGATGGGTGCTGGGGCAGGATGGGACCCTGATGGGACCCGAAGCGGGGGGAGGGGCCCCGAGGGGGGGGGGGGGGAGTGTCCAGGGGGCTCCTGCATCCCCTGTGGATAAACCACGCCCCCTTCCCAGTAGGACACGCCCCTGAGGAGCCACACCCCGACAGGCCACACCCCCACAGCCAGGCCACAAGACACACCCCCCAAGAAGCTACACGCCCAGCTCCATGCCACACCCTCCACGCACTGCGCCCCATGGGGGGCGGGGTCATGCCCCAGCAAGACCACGCCCCTCACCGGGCCACGCCCTCCTCACTAGGCCACACACCCCCAGCACCCCATAGACCCCGGCTCTGCCCCTCCATGAGCAGGCACCTCCCCTCCCCATATGACCCCACCCCCTGTGACGTCACCCCCTTGCAGCGTGGGGGGCGGGGCTTGGAGGAAGAGGAGGGGTTAAAGTGTGGGGGTGGAGCTTGAAGGGGTGGGGCTAAGCCATAAGGTGGAGCTTAAAGGGGCGTGACTGAGGTGGGAGTGGGCGGGGCTTGTATTGCTAGGGTGGGGCTTGAGGAGGGGCGGGGCTAAAAGTGGGGGTGTGGCTTAAAGGGCAGGGTAGTACACAGTGTGGGGGTGGGGTTTGAAGTGGGCGGGGCTCAAAGAAAGGCAGGACTATGGTGGGCAGGGCTTGAGGAAAGGGGCGGAGCTATGCTAGGAGTGGGCAGGGGTTGAGGAAAGGGTGGAGCTAAGGCGTGGGGCGGGGTTTAAAGAGGCGAGGGGGCGTGGCCTGTCCTTTTTCGGAAGAAAGAGGCAGATTCCCGGCTCGTTAAAATCTCACCATCCATTGGGTAGAAAAGGGCAGG